GTAATTAAGAAGTCCATTATTTAAGTTGTATACAATCCTTCCATATAATAATTTTGGAAACTAAAGTCAGCTTCCACATGAAATCTGATGTTCTTGCTTTCCTTTTTGTGGAGTTCTTCAATATCATTATTATCCTCTCTGATAGTGCTAGTAGTGAATGGGAGCAAAACAGAAACCACATATCTTTAAAGGTAAACTGAAACAAGTAAAATATGCTATATTTTATAAGTTCTGGGTCAGCAAAAATTCAAAGTTCTCCTACAACAGAACCTAGAATAGGTCAATGAACCATTTATACAGGACATACTGTGTAGAAGTAACTGCTACTGATTTTCAGAATATGAATGGATGGATAAAGACAGATAATATATATAGACATCTATTAGATACACGTTCACGTACATTTATATAAATTATCATGATACAGACTGACAATATCAGCATATATTCAGTGGTTCTTTCCACACACATACATGCCTATAAAACTATACTTTCAGACCAAGCTGAGTTACCTGTTTCAAAGGGACTAAAAACACCAACAAAACAACCCCAAATGTATCTTTAAAAGCTAGTGATCACAAACTTACAAACTGAATATAACATGACAATGGAACTCCCTATTTACTAGTCCCAAAAGAACACTATGGAAAAAATCCCACAGATAAATAGAAATTCCTATAAACAACAGTATTTCCCCTTCAAACAGTTTTAAAAACTCCACCAATATATTTGGGATGTTTCTCTGGATATGAATGGAAAATTTCATCAAACAAAAACTTAAAAGTACTGTATCTGACCTACAATGCACATACTTTATAATTTGCACCATGCTGTAGAACTATACTAAGTTCCTTCTGAAAATTAAATTTCTTAAAAAGTAGTTAAGGTGAATTTCAATTTTATAGTTTTTCTACTCAATATAAATTCTACTGAGGTTTACAATTCTATTCTAACGCAATAATACTGTTTGATTTTAGCAACATTTCTCCTATTCTGGACAAACTGATAAAGCAACAATTACATAGTGAATCAGTGATGTTCTTGCTCAGAAAGCAGAAATATTCTGTAAATGGAGAAGAGCTTTTTTCCCTAAGTTGTTAAGTGGAAAAACAACAAAAAAAAAAAATTAGGAAAAAAATCTTTATTCAAATACTTCTAATACAACCAATTGAAAAACATCCTCCCCGAAAGTAAAAAAACCCCACCAACACTATACTACATTAAAAAAAGAGAATCAGATGAAGCCTTTGAGTATTTCTATAGTTTCTCTTCACATTAGTCTCAGAATTAACTAAAATTATAAAGCATTTTTATTATATCTTCATAAAGCATGACTTTTAAAGTTAAAATTCCATGTTATACTTAAAATGCTGGAGTTGCTTTTATTAAAAAAAACCAAAAAATCAGCTTAAAATAAATTTATTATACAATACAAAAAGTAGGCATACTGGAAAATAAAAGGTACATTAATATACAAAGCAAATAAAAGAAAGCTAAATAACACAAATGGATTAATCCAAACACTAAGATAAAATGCACAACATTTATGCTAAAAATAAAGTATTTCAGAAAGGATATGCATTTCAAATGAAATGTTAATGGTGGAAAAAAAAGAAAAACAAATATGCTAACTTCAAAATGCTTGAATATCAAGAATCAGTAATGGCATAAGACATTAAATTCAACAATATTGGGTACTTTTCAATAACTTTATTTGAAAAGGTATTTAAAATACTGAAAGAATCAAAATAATGTTTTTAAACCTGGCAAAGATTTTCCTCTTTTTTTTTTAAAAGTAAAGTTTGAGGACCTATTCACAATATCTTCTCTTCTTCCATTTATACCTGCCAACAAAAATTTCTGGATGCTCATCTTTAACAGTATTCTATAAACACAGTAGCTTAGATAACCCTTCTCCATTGGTGTGTATTTAAGCCTTATCAACATAGTAAGTGGCAAAAATTAACATCATTTTGAAATCTGTACAAATGTGGATACAATATGAAACATGAAATTTTCATTTTATCAAGTAAAACCCACCTCCACTGAAACATTAATAAACTACAAATGTAGTTACAAAATGTAACAATTAGAGCGTGGGAGAGGGGAGCCTTTTATTTGGAAACTACCAATTAAAGACATTCAGTCCCCAAACCACAAATAGCTCTGTGAATTAATATGAATGACACTGTTCAAAGGTATAGCAGAGGTAAGGTATAAAGGTATGGAGAATGCAGACATACCGCTCTCATGTAAATGGCCAAACCAGAAACATCCAGTTAGGATATGCATCTGTACATCAGAGGAACAATTAGCCATAAAATCCTTGGCTAATATTCTCTAAAACTTACTGCATAATTATTTTTTAAATATGTTTAATACTTCAGTTGGGCCAAAAGGCATTTAAACAAGTTTGGAAGAGAACTTCTTTTCCTAATATCATAGTTCCCAAACTCATATAATCAAGACTTTCTACATCTGTGTTTTCACTTGCATCTAAACCATCCAGGAAATTATTTTTTGCTACACTGTAATTACTATTTTAGACTTTACCCTACACCACATGTATGCCATGATACTAAGAAACTATCAAGTTCTCCTCCTGACTCCATCCCTGTCCCTCCAAAATCTTGAAGCTCTGGGGAACTGTGGGGAGAAACAGAGAGGTACATGGAGGAAGGAAGAAGTATCAATAGGATCCTACAGAACTTTACAATTACTTTGCCAAGACAGACTTTAAACATTGTGAATTATTTCAAATTTAGGCTGTGCAGAACCTTTAGTCCTCTTAAAAACAAGTTTTGATTCTCAATATTGCATTATTATAACCGAACAAAAGGATTAAAATCTAACAGGTATTTTAGTAGCATACTTACTACCTTCAGACTGAATTCATTTCCTATCTACTCTAAAAGAGTTCAAATAAAACAAGCTTTATGAGATTTAATTATAATTTATCGCAAAAGTTCATTAGCATTTGTGAAATTATTATAATTATTAAAAGCTAAAAACCAAAATTCACCATTCACACTTAAATATAACACAGAACAAGTTACGTGGGTAATATGAAAATAAAACTGTTCAGGTAAATATTTCACTTGAAGACACTCACTGCTGCTCCTTCTGAGTAATCATTATAGGTTTTTAACAGTGAAACATGTCATTATCTTACATCGGAAATTCTTTGGCTGGAACGCTTTAGTAACATAACACACTCCTGTACATAACAATTCTGACAGAACAAAGGAGTTGCAAAGTGAAAAAGCAAAGATATTTTAAAGTGTTTGACAGAATTTTAAATAAATTTTTAAAAATCTAAAGCCAAAATAAAAGAGTAAAACAAATCTATCTGCTGCTATATTAAATAATTTGGAAATCATAATTATGTCTTTTTACTTTTGTATTTAGCACAGAAATACTTTATATTGCTACTGGAGACACCACATCAATTTTAAAACTGGAAAATAAAGAAATGTGATAAAATTTATGAGTTCAGTCTGTGAGTTTCAGAACCAAGAAATTACCAATTTCTGCTATTATTTTAAAGTGGGATTATTTGACTACATATAGTTAAAATTTGAATTACACCAAGAAAAAATTTAAAGAAATTTTTCCTTTCATTAAAAAAAAAATAAAGCAAATTTGCTTTATTTGTACTTTTTAAAAGACTGACAAATCCACTTTTTAATCTATTAACTTTACACAAAGATTTTTTAAAAAAAAGCCTTATGGCTCCAGCACCGAAGGTTGAAAGCACAAAAAACTCAATAAATATAGTATGCAAAAAAAACTAAAGATGTTTGAAAGGTTAAATGAAGAGCATTCTGAAACTAGAACCCATTTCTTTAGCTTTTCTCTCCCAGACTTTCCATTCTATATACTACAGTTGTAGAGATGTCCTCATTTGACTCAGGTGACACTTTTTTCCATACTGTCTCTTTTAAAGCAAGTTCTTGTTGGAGACTTTCATAGTCCAATGGTCCAAAGGAATGCTAGTTGTTCAAGCAACATACATAATTTATTAGTGCACTTGAGTGAAGAAAGGTCCAAGCTATAAAATGGTATTTTTCAATGATGAATGTTATTAAGATCTGTTAGCATTTTCACCCACCACCATCTGATGTTTTGCTCCATGTTACTCTTGTTGACACCCATGGAAGTTTCTATTTTTGTCAGCTTTGCATAATTCTCATACATTATTAAAGTTACTTTAAAACTAATGATAGGAAAATTTACTTAGTATGTGTTAAAATTTTTTTCTACTTATAAGTGCTTCGCACATATTAGCTTCAAGTCTAGTTAGGCAATTTTATTCTAAACATTTCCACTTGGGATACAAAGGAATTTAAATTCAAAACAAGTCCCTTAATGCAAACAACAACGAAGACAAAAACAAAATCTTGTTCCTGAAATTTAAGTCCTGACTCCTTTAAAAAGGAGTATATATGTGCAAAAATATGAAGTCAAACGCACTGATAAAAAACAAATATCACTTTAACAGTGTCAGAAACACTGCATTAAACACTTTCTATAGAAAAATATTTCATCTATAGTGACATATAAAACTTACTATGAAGCTCTGTAAGGCCTATCACTAATATAATAATCCCTTTCCACTTACATATCCATCCAAATAAAAGTAAACTCAATTTGAGACTATAACTGACAAATATTGAGAGCAGCAATAGGTTTTCTCTTTATAGCATGCAGCACTTTCCAATGTTTTCTTCTAAGAGAGTCAATTCTTGAAAATACTGCTAAAACAGCAGAAAAATGGGGAGGAACCTCTGCTCCTAGGCTAACCAGTTTCAGTTTAAATAAAACAGTAATATTTAGTATGTATGTCCAGGATGATAACGTCAACAATTCAACATTACTCATTTGTTATTAGTAAAAATATGAGGCCACTAACAATTAAAGTAAGTTTTATTTAAACTGGTGAACCTCATATTCTCTCTCAAAAAAAGTTACATAATAATCTAAATAAGAATTTTGCTTACCCTCTGATCACCACCTTCTCTTCGTGGATCAAGTTTTTTAGCAAAGTGTCTCAAATTATCATAGTTATGGAAATTACACAGAGAAACAAGATCCTATAATTAAACAAAACAGGCATTATAAGAAACTGGCTTAGTCAATGGCTATTGTTTTTCCATATTTTAACAAATTTCACTAATACTGTTCAACTTAACTACTATCTCATAGAAAGTACCACTGCATGTTAATAAAGCTGCATGATGCATCAAGAAGACCGAAGTCAAAACAAGACCGAAGTCAAAACAAGAAGATATGGACTACAGGCATTTGAAAATTTACTACCATAACCTTAGGGCTCAGGCACTCAAAATACATAACTTTCATTTTCTGTAAAATGGGCATTATAATAATAGGCCACATGAAGTAATTATTCTATCAAATAACTATAGCACCACAAAAATATAAATGAATACTCTGGTTACAATGTATTTTAATCTATAAGGAATCCAATGTCATTCTCTAGTTTTTGTAAAATATTAAAAAAACTGAAAAATAAACTGGTATTTTAAATGGGAAAATGTGTAGAAAAAATTATGATACTCAGTGCAGACTCTAGGAATTAGTAAATGTAAATAAAACCAAAAGATAAAATACTAGCAACACTTGGGTAACAACAAAAGATACTGAACTAGGGAACAGTAGTAGTAATTTTAAATTGCAATACTTATTTCCTTAAAAAAAAAACTCAATCTTTCACTTATGGTGAGGTCTAAATGACTTCTCCAAGTTTAATGTCTTTTGCTGAGCTTTTAGAAACTGAAAACTAATTACAACCATGAAATTAAAACTTAAGCATCAAACAAATTTGTAATTTGTGAGGATGATTATATAGGAGCTGTCTGGTAGCGGCAATTTAAAGCTCCTTTGCAAACACAAACATGGCTATTGAGTGACTGGCAGTGAGAATGCAAACAGTCAAACTATGGAAATGAGTAATACAGTAGGAACCATCAGATGGCTCAACTTATATGATCATCATTTTCATTAAAAAAAAAAAAAAAAGGCTTACATGACAGAAGTGAATTCCCTTAACACTGTTGCCCATCTTGTCCAGAGGAGGAGACCAGCACATCATGCCCATGACATTGGGGACAACTAAAAGAATGCCCCCAGCGACTCCAGATTTTGCAGGAAGACCAACCTGAAAACAGTTTGAAAAAATGGACACTGATGTTAACATTTTAAAACAAGAAAAGTTATGTCCAACAATAAGGGAACTGGTTAAAATATTACAGTATATTTCCATATAGTAGCATTCCAACATTAAAACGTAGATAAGCATTAGATTGCTACAAAGGTAATTGCAGTTTTGCATTGTTGAACTCTGCCATTTGATATTGGAACACGTTCTTAAATGTGATAATGCTGTACATCATTTTAATGCACCTTTCTTGCTTTATGTTTTTTTTTGTTTAATGACTTACAGTATGCATGTGTGCCAAGTCGCTTCAATCATTGCAACCCCAGGGACTGCAGGAACCACCAGGCTCCTCTGTCCATGGAATTCTCTAGGCAGGAATACTGGAGTGGATTGCCGTACACTCTTGATCTTCCCAACCCAGGGATCGAACATACATTTCTTGCAGCTCCTGTATCACAGGCAAACTCTTTACCACTGAGTCACCGGGGAAGCCCCAATGACTTATTACTTGCTGCTTATGCTTATTTTAGACTAGGGAAATCATGTTAGACAAAAAGCAAATTTCAGTGATTTTCTTATTCGAGTTCAAAATGGGTTGTAAATCAGCGGAGACAACGCACAACACTAACAATACATTTGGCCCAGGAACTGCTAACGAACGTATAGTGCAGTGGTGATTTAGGCAGTTTTGCAAAGGAGATGAGAGCCTTAAGGATGAGGAGCACAGTAGCTGGCCATCAGAAATACACAATGACCAACTGAGAGCAGGGTGACAGTATACAGCCTTGACCTATTTGGAACCAGTCTGTTGTTCCATGTCCATTTCTAACTGGTGCTTCCTGACCTGCGTACAGATTTCTCAAGAGGCAGGTCAGGTGGTCTGGTATTCCCATCTCTTTCAGAATTTTCCACAGTTTATTGTGAACCACACAGTCAAAGGCTTTGGCATAGTCAATAAAGCAGAGATAGATGTTTTTCTGGAACTCTCTTGCTTTTTTGATGATCCAGCTGATGTTGGCAATTTGATCTCTGGTTCCTCTGCCTTCTCTAAATCCAGTTTAAACATCTGGAAGCACACAGTTCATGTACTGTTGAAGCCTGGCTTGGATAATTTTGAGCATTACTTTACTAGCGTGAGATGAGTGCAACTGTGTGGTAGTTTGCGCATTCTTTGGCATTGCCTTTCTTTGGGATTGGAATGAAAATACCTTTTCCAGTCCTGTGGCCACTGCTGAGTTGTCCAGATTTGCTGGCATATTGAGTGCAGCACTTTCATAGCATCATCTTTTAGGATTTGAAATAGCTCGACTAGCATTCCATCACCTCCACTAGCTTTGCTGGTAGTGATGCTTCCTAAGGCCCACTTGACTTTGCATTCCAGGATGTCTGGCTCTAGGTGAGTGATCACACCGTCATGACTATCTGGGTCGTGAAGATCTTTTTTGTACAATTCTTCTGTGTATTCCTGCCACCTCTTCTTAATATCTTCTGCTTCTGTTAGGTCCCTACCATTTCTGCCCTTTACTGAGCCCATCTTTGCATGAAATGTTCCTTTGGTATCTCTAATTTTCTTGAAGGGATCTCTAGTCTTCCCATTCTATTGTTTTCCTCTATTTCTTTGCATTTATCACTGAGGAAGGCTTTCTTATCTCTCCTTGCTATTCTTTGTAACCCTGCATTCAGATGGGCATATCTTTCTTTTTCTCCTTTTCCTTTCACTTCTCTTCACAGCTATTTGTAAGGACTTGTCAGAAAACCATTTTGCCTTTTTGCATTTCTTTTTCTTGGGGATGGACCTACACACCCATAATCCCTGACAGTTGATCAATAACCTCATAACCTGGTAAAATACTGTGGGTAGTAAACTGTGGAAAATTCTGAAAGACACTGGAATACCAGACCACCTGACCTGCCTCTTCAGAAACCTGTATGTAGGTCAGGAAGCAACAGTTAGAATTGGACATGGAACAATAGACTGGTCCCAAATAGGAAAAGGAGTATGTCAGGCTGTATATTGTCACCCTGCTTATTTAACTTATATGCAGAGTACATCATGAGAAACGCTGGGCTGGAAGAAGCACAAGCTGGAATCAAGATTGCCGGGAGAAATATCAATAACCTCAGATATGCAGATGACACCACCCTTATGGCAGAAAGTGAAGAGGAACTAAAAAGCCTCTTGATGAAAGTGAAAGAGGAGAGTGAAAAAGTTGGCTTAAAGCTCAACATTCAGAAAACTAAGATCATGGCATGTGGTCCCATCACCTCATGGGAAACAGATGGGGAAACAGTGGCGGACTTTATTTTCTTGGGCTCCAAACTCACTGCAGATGGTGACTGCAGCCATGAAATTAAAAGACACTTACTCCTTGGAAGAAAAGTTATGACCAACCTAGACAGCATGTTAAAAAGCAGAGACATTACTTTGCCAACAAAGGTCTGTCGGCCAAGGCTATGGTTTTTCCAGAAGTCATGTATGGACTTGAGAGTTGGACTATAAACAAAGCTGAGCACCGAAGAATTGATGCTTTTGCACTGTGTTTTGGAGAAGACTCTTGAGAGTCCCTGGGACTGCAAGGACATCCAACCAGTCCATCCTAAAGGAAATCAGTCCTGAGTGTTCACTGGAAGGACTGATGTTGAAGCTAAACTCCAATACTTTGGTCACCTGATGGAAAGAGCTGACTCATTTGAAAAGACCCTGATGCTGGGAAAGATTAAAGGCAGGAACAGAAGGCAACGACAGAGGATTAGATGGTTGGATGGCATCACTGACTCAATGGACATGAGTTTGGGTAAACTCCAGGAGTTCATAATGAACAGGAAGGCATGGCAGGCTGCAGTCCATGGTGCCACAAAGAGTCAGACACGACTGAGTGACTGAACTGAACTGAGATCAATTATCAAAGGTGATCCTCATAGCTACATGAGAAGTTGCCCAAGAACTCAACGTTTACCATTCTACGGAATCCGGCATTTGAAGCAATTTGGAAAGGTGAAAAAAGCTTATTAAGTGGGTGCCTCATGAACTGACCGAAAATCAAAAAAATCATTGTTTTGAAGTGTCATCAACGAATCATTTCTTGATTGGATTTTGACTTGAAACAAACAGTGGATTGTATGCAACAACCTGCGACAACCAGCTCAGTGGCCTGACTGAGAAGGCACTCCAAAACACTTCCCAAAGCCAACCTTGCACCACAAAAAGGTCATGGTCACTGTTTGGTGGTCTCGTGCCGGTTTGATCCAGTACAACTTTCTGAACCCTGGTGAAATCCATACAACTGAGAAGTATGCTCAGTAAATTGATGAGAAGCACTGAAAACTGCAATGCCTGCAGCCAGCACTGGTCAACAGGAAGGGCCCAATTCTCCTCCATGACAACGCCTGACTGTATGTTGTACAACCTAGGCTTCAAATTTGAACGAAATGGGTTACGAAATGGGTTAATCTTGCCTCATCCGCCATATTCACCTGACCCTCGCCAATAGACTACCACTTCTTCAAGCATCTCATTAACGTTTTGCAGGGAAAACACACAACCAGCAGGAAGCAGAAAATGCTCTCCAAACGTTCACCAAATCCCGAAGCATGGATTTTTACACTACAGAAATAAACTTATTTCTCATTGGCAAAAAATGCATTGATTCTAATGGTTCATACTTTGATTAAAAAAGATGTGTTTGAGTCTAATTATAATGATTTAAAATTCAGGGTCCAAAACCACAACTACATTTGTATCAACCTAATATTTACCAATACGTTTGTAATATAATAAATGAAAAGACAGTTACAAAACACTTGGGATATATTTAAATATGGAAAAAAAATTTCAAAGATATACTCTAAGGAATTTAACTTGTGGAGACATTCATATTTTTACTCTTTTTGGTTATATTTTCTAATTGTTCTACAGTGAACATGTATTGCTTTTAAGTATAAGTTATTTTCAAAAAAATACTTCATGACTAAAACAATGTGAAATTATCTCTTCCAAGATGATTCTCTGTGGTATACTGGCAGAAAAATCTAAAGAATAGAGATAAGATGGTACCAATTCAAATTAATCCACTTCAAAGCATTTAAGTTTACATTATGTAAAACTTGACACCAACTATGATAAAAGACAAAATTAATGTCATCAGGACAGTGTTTTACTAATGGTTTATTAACAATTCGGACCTCTTACTAGAAGTAATCTTGCACAAAAGTAGCAAAACAAAATAATCACCTGAATGGAACCTACTAATTTACAGCAAATACCAGGGACAATGGAAGAGATGTAGTAAGCAAAATCAATACTCTGACAAACTACATTAAAACTGATCCAGTTTTTTTCATTTAAAAATAAGAAAACAGAGGTAGGTTAAGCGGGAAGAGTACAGATTTTAAAAAAAATAATAAAGAGACACAACAATCACAATGTATGGATAGCCCTTATTTGCATTCAAGTGAAATAAACTATGGAATGATTTTTAAGATAATCCAGATAATCTGGACATTGACTAACCTTTTAGTACAGTTGATTTACAATGTTATTTTCTGCTGTAGAGCAAAGTGATCCAATTATAAATATACATACTCTTTCTCATATTCTTTTCTATTATTGAATAAATATTAGGTTAAAATCCTTTTTAGGTTTTTATAGGTAATAATGTTGCTGTGGATTTTTTGGAGTCCTTATCATTTAGAATGACATACTTTACTATGAAAAGGGTAGAGGAAGTAGGTGTAATAAAGATGAAACAAGACTGCTCAGGTATTGATAATTACTGAAGTTGAGTGCCAGGTACATTTATTTTTTATTAAAGAATAGTTAATTTATAATGTTGTGTTAGTTTCAGGTATACAGCAAACTGTTTAAGATATACATGCAGTAAGGCCCCTACATACAAATCTTCAAGTTGCAAGCTTTCAAAGATATGAACGTGCATTTGATTCCAGCAAGAAGCCAGAACCAGTGCTACCAACGTCAAATGTGAGTGAAATTATAATTTGCCCTGTCTCCTATTGCCAATGATCCTTCAGCTCTACCATGCCCCACTTCCTCCAATCAGCAACTCTTCTTGCCCGTTCACTCAGTGTTGGCCCCTGCGTGCCAGCTGTTGTACTGCACTGCTACTCTGTAAAGCATTGTGCTGCAGGATTAAAAATGCTTTATTATCTGTTTTTTATGTGTAATTTGTATGAGAAGTATTATAAACCTATTATAGTACAGTACTATATAGCCAAATGTGTTACTTGGGTACCTACGCTAACTCTGTTGCACTCACAAATTTGCACTTGGAACAGAACTTGTTCATACGTAGGGGGCTTACTGTGTGTGTCTGTGTGTGTATATATTTCAGATTCTTTTTCCTTGTATGTTATTATAAAATATTGAGTATAGTTCTCTGTACTATACAGTAAACAGGTCCCTGTGTCTGTGTGGCTATTTCTCTGTTCTATATACAATTTCATCTGTATCATTTGTTTTTTTTAAGATTCTATACAAAAGTGGTATCATATGATAATGCATCGATTTTTCTATGTTTAACATTTTCAAAACAAAATTTTAGGGCATTACAACTTGATATAGAATGAAATAAGAGAAGTCTCTAACATTTCACAAATGGCAAATGTACAACAGAGCTCAAAGGAATGTATTTTTAACTTGAATACACTTTAAATCCTTTAAAACACCTATGGTTGTAAACAAAGATGCTGAATACCAGTTATGCATGCACTCTTTCTGAACTTAAAGAATTCCTGAAGTACCTAATCACCACCATATTAAATACTAGTAACTAAAAGTAAAGTCTGTACTAAGCATCTACAGTGAAATGCCTTTTAAAATAAAAGTGAAAAGGACCTATAGATTAAACTTCAAGTTCTTAAGAACATGTCATAGACTGCATAACTCTATTTCTTATTAATTCCGTAACAAATTAACCTGAGAGTAAGCCTCTCTCTCAAAAATCAATGGACAGCTCTAGAGCTGCATCTTAAAAAGAAGCTAGTCCAGACTAGTTTCCTGCCAGAGAAATTAAGATCAAACAATTACTTACATGGAAAGCAAACTGCCCTGAGAAATCATACATGCCACAGGAATGCATCAAACTGAGTGTATTTCGAACTGCTTCAGGACTCAGTACTCTTTCACCAGTGATTGGGCAGAAGCCACCATTAGCCAGTGTTGCTGCCATCACACTAGCTGACTCACAAGTTACTTCAATGGAGCATAGCTAAAAGGAAGAAAAAATTAAATTCTAAAAATTTAGGCTCACATTATTTTTAGTACAGTTGACCTGTAAGACAATCTATTTTATCCAGTATTTCGTAGAGATCTGAATCTTTTTTCCAAAGGGATAATTTGATGTCATTACACAAAGATTTAAATTTGAACAATAGTCCAGCCCTTTTAACATTTCTCCTATTTCATCAGTTATTTAGTCTTTCAATGGCAGAGCTAGGATAGGAAGAGCCAGACCTTTAGCACTAAGAACTGTAAATTGCCTCATGTGTGATATTCAAGCTTGCTTAAATACTAATGCTTTCTGTAGGATATATAAACATAATTATTTTTAACTCAACAGGGAAAAAAGAGGGATGACCTGTTTTTAAAATAAAGCAACATACATCAGTATTATGATAGTTAGCATCTACATGAAAAATTGCTACTTTAAGGAAAAAAGTCTGACATCTTGCCTATAAAAAAGCTCAGTATCCTCATATGGCAACACACAAAGGACTACAGGAAAAAATCTAAGTTCTAGCCTGAATGCTCTGTGTGCCTAAACCAAATCTGTTGCTTTTACACTGTTTATTAACATTCAAATAGCTATTTGATATTGACTATGATTGCTAGATATGATATAATGAATTAAAAAAAGCAAAGTCCAAGTACACTGTAGGGTAAAATTCTTGCATTCCAATATCATCAAAATAATGGAAATAGTTTTTACCACACCAAATCCAAATTTACCCATAAAACTAAAACAATAAATAAATGCTGCTTTAATTTCATTAACAGCAAGCAAAACTGAGGCGAAAGTGGAAGAGAAAGAGACGATAGGAAGAAGAAGAAAAGACTGAGTTCTCAACTTACAATATTCCTTACTCATAATTCAAGACCTATCAGATGCACAAAAGGGTTTGGAAATAGCAATAATGGAAATTAATTAACTGCAATGAATCAGAAAACTGATTAGGGGCCACTTTTTGACTGGTTTTTACTTTTGCCTCATTATTTTAAAACCCCTTCTCTATTTCTCCAAAACTACAGAATCTACTTACAATATAGATCCACACAGCAAAGACTTATAGTGAAGGTGATTTAATTATGAAAAGCTTTCTAAAAGAAAAAATATTTGAACTCAAATGACCAATTCCTAATTTATAATTAGTATTAATAGAAATTGTGTTTGTCATAAGGTGATACTTCCAATTAGACAAAACCCAATTTAAGAGTACTCTCCTGGTACCCTGACAGATGTTCAGTTAGATGTAGTCCTCCTCCAAAAAAGCAATTAAGTTTTCCATGGCTGTCTCTTGATTTCTGTCGTGAAGTACAGAAATTTCACAGTAGATTACTAGTACCTAAGCTATAACAGTCAAATATGTGTACCAAAGGAAAAGAAACTTTAACATATGGAAGAAATCCATACAGGCTAGGGAAAAAATAAGGGCCACTGGATAAATACGATACTGAACTTAATACATTTTATAGCCTCAAAGAAATTTCATATACATCTTATGAACTCATCAATGTAATGCAGGAAGTTAGATCAAGCTTATGCCACAGAAAATGAAACCAGGGTTTAGCAGCTGAAGCTAAGTCACATGTCTTAAAAAGTGGCCAGGTTAGATTTTGATTTTCTGTTGGCAGTCTGGATTCCCAAGTCATAGTTCTTCACACTGGGCAGGTGACAAGCTGAGACCCGGACTTCTACCAAGATCTATTACATTATCAACTTTCCTTACTTATTCTTTAAGATTACTAAAAGGTTAAAATTAAAGAAGCTTAAAAAAGTAAAGCCAGGCAAATATTAGGTGAAACAGAAATTAACAACAATTAGTTACTATGTAGCTACTAAGTATACTACAAACTCATTAGAAGCACCAATGGATCACTTCTTGGCCTTTTGGCTAAGATCAAGTGTAGAAGCACCAATGGTATTAAATCTGTAAGAATGAACTGAAAACACAACAGGAGAAAAAGAATTCCTTCTTCTAAGGAAGACTATCTTAACTTCAGTTTTATCCCATAAAGATATGTAAATGGTCCTCTTCCCCATGAATATGGAAAGCTACTTTAACTTATTAGAAAATCCACTATGTGACACTGTAGAAATGAACTAAACAAAGAAAGAATATGCCACTTTAGAATGCTGAATGTGAACTTTTTGATAAAGAAACAAGTAACTCCTTCAAAGAAAAATTTAAAACTAAGAAAACAGTGCTCAGTTTATAATAAAGAGAAGCAATTGCTGGAGCTGTACATTAGTTTTCATACTCCTTAAATATAACGCTTTTATAGAAAAAAACCATTTCCCTGTTACATTCTGAGATATTACAGGCGTAAGACTGCATTTAACACGGGCATTTTTTCTAAAGTTAATTGGAAATGACTTTCTCTCGGCTCAGAGCCAAGATTTCAGAGACATCTCTATTCTGCAAAATGTGACACATCCACTTATATACATAGTTCATACAGTTAAAGTAAGTTACCTGGAAATAGAAGTCCAATATACCAACCATGTCTGTGCCTTCTGGGAAACACTGGAAAAATAAATAGGCAATTGAAAACACAGGCATGCAGGAAAAGAATGCACATAAACAAGATACATGGAGATTAAATTTAAAATATAAACACATTTCATTCTAATTGAGAACAAAATAGGACACAATCTATAAAAGAGTACAAACACGAAATAATGAAGAATAAATCAAAATGTTATCACATATATATTTCAAGATACTAGTTTAACTGACAATAACAAATTGATTCATTATTCATGAACCAAATCATTGGACCAGATACTTAAAATTTAAAAATCAAGTATAACCAACAACAGTCAAGGGTTATACTTTTGAAAAATATACCAATCCTTACACAAAATCTGCATTAATATAACTAGGCAAATATTTGAATGCTACCAAATACAACCTGCTTGAATAATATTAATACTTTGATAGTATTAATTCAAGAGTGTTTTGCAAAAACTTCTGCATGTTAGTCACAGGTAGTTATTTAAAAGCTATTGTTGAGTTTTTAGTATACATCTCTCTATATTTTATTAAGTAAAAGAGTAATCTGAAAAATAAGCAAAATTAAAAAACCTTTTTTTCCTTTAAGTAATATCCTATTGCAAAATTTCGATCTCCACTTTCTCTTTCAGACTGAAACCTAGAAGAAAAAAAAAAACACATTTGCTCTATTTATATACCCTTGGTAAAAGCATGATTGTTCTATAGGTTAATCTGTATAGCAAAGTGCAGTATAAAGAACATTGACCCTCAGAAAGAGTCAAGGCTGCTGGGTTCTAATCCCAGTTCTGTCAACAGGTCAGCTATGTGGCCTTGGGCATGTCATTTAAGTAATAATTCTATCTGCATTAATTTTCCGAGCTCTAAAAGAACTGAAATGAACTAGGCCCTTTCTATTTTGTGACTAAAGAAGCTAATTTTTAAATTACCAAATATTCAATTATTAAAATTTATTATTAGTATCTTCTGGCTCCCCTAACAGAACAGTAGTCAATTTCAACTGAGGGAACCTATGGAAATTTAACTGAGAGAGACACATGAAATGGGCCTAATAGCATTTGCTGGATTAACAAATTTCTGAGGAGTCTGGGTAGTGGCAAATAATACAGTATGAACAAAGTTATAAAAGACAGGACTTCATTCAAGAATGCAAATATTCTGATGCGTCTGGGAAACACATGGAAAAGAATGGAAAAATACCAAACCAACAAAAGAGACTAAAACCAAATTATAAAGATTGATAAATGCTAAAAAATGCAATGGCTCCTGATTGCCTACAAAATGAAAGCTTGATAGCTTTCAAAAGTTACCTTATCAGGTCTACATTTTAGAAGGATAATTCTGCCATCAGTTTGGGAAAGGAGAAAAAGAAAGGATAAGTGATTTATTAGGAGACTAGTATAATGAGAGCTACAGGAGGTCTTAACTAGGCAGTGATGATAGGAATGGAAGGAGAGGTATGATCAAACATAAGACCACTTGGGCAATCTTCCGACCTAACGGGAAGAGGGAAAACAGTAAAGTCTGGTACGAAGCCGAGATTTCTAGCACAGTCAACAGAAAGGATGGCAATATCAACTGACATGGGGATCCCTACAGAAAAGAGCAGTTTGGGAAGTACCACATTTATCTGTGGTACACTTGAGAGCTCAACCTCAAAGAGTTCAGAAGGCTGCTGCTTAAAGAGGAACTGTATGTGATATTCTTATTACTGATTAGGGGTGGACAGTTCCTTCTAACTGCATATCTGAATATTTCCATGGTCAGAAAAACTATGCTGGATACGACAAAGTTCTTGGAAGTGAACCTATCAACTTGCCATACTTGGTGACTTGCCATAAAACATTGAAAAAGTAATCAATATAGTATAAAGGACTAACTATATTCAGCAATGATCACAGTGCCTAACACATAATTCTGTTCATCAAACATTGTATCAGGTACTTACTATCCACTAGATAACAGGAATACAGAAATGATTTGGAAGACACTATCCAGGAATTAAGGAGGTGAAAATCTAATAGCAATGATGAGGCAAAAAGAGACAGAATCATAGAATAAGTTCAATAAAATATGGCAATATGAGCGCACAGAAGAAAGGCGAGATGAGATTAATAAAAAAACTTCCTGGGAAAGACACTTAAGCTGATGAATAAAGTTGGTAAGGTAGACAACCTGAAACACAAAGCAACACCTAGTTTAGTTTTCATGCCAAAAATGTTTAAGCCTTGTCTAATCACTAGGAAACAATCCTATTCAAAATGGGGAATGTCAATGGGCCAGATCTGGTCCATGCTTTTATAAATAAAGTTTTTTGAAACACATCCTCACAGTGTTTATTGCTTGCTTTCCTACTAAAGCAGTAGAACTGAGTAGCTGCAACAGAGACCATATGGCCCACAAATACAAAATATTTACTATCTAGTCCTCCTTCACAGAAAAACTTAATTTATGTTCCACTGACAAGACAAAAAAAAAAGCCATTTAATAAAATTTTAAAAAGCAAGGGTCTAGGTTAGAGGACTGTTCCATTTTAAAAAGACAAAAAAACTACCTCACATATATGTATATTTATATACATGTACATGTACGTGTGTGAAGAGATCCACGCTTGTTTTAAACTGTTCATCTAAAGAGAGAAACTGGCTAAGAAAAAAGCAAATGAGACAAAATACTGATCAGAAAATATCAGTGAAAGATGTCCAGATTTTCATGATTTGTTGTTTCAACTTTTCTATAGATTTCTAAATTTTAAAATAAAATGTTGGGGCAAGAATCAAGTCAGCCAGGCACAGAGAGATTACAAGAGGGAAGATAAGCATTACAGGCAAAGAAAAAATTAAGAAAGTGCCAGTCACTTGACATAAATTTAGGGGCTCTTCTAATTACATGATTTCTCACAAGAAGTTTATCAAAACTAGTTAAAGTTAAATTAAGTGTTCTCCCTCATGTGATTTAGAAATCACGCATTTCTCTTTAATGACCAAATTCTAAGTAAGTTCACTGATGTGCGTGTGTGTGTATGGGTGCTACAAAGAGCTGTGTCTGACTCTTTGCAACCTATGGACTGTAGCCCGCCAGGCTCCTCTGTCCATGGGACTCTTCAAGCAAGAATAATGGGTTGCCATGTCCTCCTCCAGGGGATCTTCCCAACCCAGGGATCAAACCCACATCTCCTATGTCTCCTGCATTGGCAGGAGGATTTTTTACCATCTGAGCTACCAGGGAACACGCTGAAGTATATATACATTAAGTCAGAAAAGAGTATTTAAAATAAATTCTGTAGCCTAGATTTTAAAAATTTCAAGATATCTAACCTATCACAAAAGCCTAAATCAAAAACCAGACTCACGTTGCATTACTGAATCCAACATATTCATTACCAGCCATCTTATTCAAAAACTGCATTACCTATAAACCAAAATGAGAAACTATTAGTAATCAAAAAACAAAACAGAGAATGCAGCATGAAAACTGAGTTCGACATTATACTTACATAGTCAAATTTTTCAGCATTATTCACTCCTTGCTGCAAAGAAATGAGACATAAATGTTAATACAGACTCGATCACAGTTAAGCCTTAAGTGAATATTATATTAAAAATTCCAAACCGCTATCATTATAATTAATATACTGTGCATTAGTACTTTTAAATCTAGGAAATACTCATAATCTAATATTTACAAAAACTTTTTTTCACATGTCCCTACATTAACACCCGCATGTTGAGAATGGATCTGAATTACAAAGGGAATGCGTTAAGTATAACTTCCCAACCCAAAGTTACAGAATTTTAAATACAAGTTCCTCAAATCCCCTTATCTTTCATAACACCATAATCTGCTAGAATATATGTTATTATTTGATTTCACATTAAAAAAAACTTAAAGTTTTTACCCTTAGCAAAGAATTAAGCATATATATTATGGTTTTCAATTAAGGACAACCTACTTATATTTCTAAAATATAAGTAGAAATACTTGTATTTCTTAAACCTTAAACCAGTATTAGAGTTAGAAAATAAGTTATGTTGCAAAACTAATCTTTTACAACTCTAGTATAAGTATACATTCTGGATACACGTTACTAACATAGAGAGATTCTACCTTTAATATCTTACTTGTTATAGCAATACTTGAACTAAAAAAGTGTATTTCATAGTCTAAAAAAATTAGCTACATTTGTATTTAGCATTATGCCAATTCAGAGAATGGAGGACGTATTGTTTCACCACTTCTATTTCTGACAAGTTAGCTGCTACTGCAAATGTAATAGGAAAAAACTAGGTAACGTAGATCAGTTCAAGTAGCTAAATGGTTTCGTTTTACCTCGGCGAAGTTTACAAAGCAGTAAGTTGTAGATCTGAAATCAAACGTATTAATTGGTGATATGCACCCAAAAGAAACAATACATCTCTAATTTTAAAAACAAGTTTAAAATGAAGTAATTTGACAACTAAAATTTGAAAACTGGAAAATTTTAACTTTGCCATCAAAAAAACCCAAAACAATAAATTTAAAGTTTTATTACATGGGGATGGGGGAAGTACCAGAGTATTATTTAATTGAATAAAGCCGGGGTCATTCTCCCCCGTACAAGTGGATTAGGATGTGGCTGATAATCTGAAAACTTAACAAATCAACTTATTTGAGAAAGAATGTGCAATCACATATACAAATCAGTAGCTGGAAAGGCCACCACACTATTTCTTCAAAATCAGGAATTAACAAAGCTTAAACAAGTTAAGGATAATATAGTTACAGCCATACTGTAATCACTATCTATGTATTTCCTCTAAAGTGTCCTTTGACATATTATAAGTTTTCTTTCTTTATAATACACCAGAAATCAAAATGTAGAAATGTAACTCCAAAGCTGTTCAATGAAAAATAATTAAAAGAAGAAATTACCAACTTCATTGAACTGTTGCAGTTGTCAAAATATTCCATAGATCCTAATGCTGTAAAATATGTAACAACATTTAAACCACAAAAACCTTTTCAACCTTTGAGAAAGCACAAAAAACAACTCCTTTGGAAAAAATTGTCAGCATTTGCATTGGGATATCACATGGATAATTACTGGTTATACAATTAATCAATGTAAAATAAACAAATTATATTAAACTTTGATTCTCTGATCTAAACTGTACTATCTTTGTTTAGCTGTCATGTTTAATTTTTTAAAAAAACTAAATAACAAAAACTGTCTCAACTCGACTATAGTCACATTCTTGATCTACATTGCAGCTTACTAAATTAATGTACAATTAGGTTTTACTTCTATGCTATTTTTCAGAAACAACTGATATTTTAAAGAAACAACTGATATTTGTCAATGTCTAACATCATATAGGATTTTGTGTAAACTATCTGAAATGTTCTGGCAGATTATGTAAATAGGTAAAATATCTGAATGACTGTGTTGCCTCAAGAAAATCTCTACTCAAAACTTCCCCATTTAATCATAAAAGTACTTGATTAATTTTTCTTTTTATTATTTACCTAGAAATACCATTTAAGCTGATAAGATGTATTTGCCCCTGTCATCTCTTGTAAAGGTTTCATGTACCCCAGGGATATGTAGAATCTAGTAATCATTATGTCATATCATTCTAAAAATTTTACAGAATGAAAATTTGCACAGTTGTTAGAAAAAAACACACATACACATACCAAATAACCTAGAGTAAATCCTACCCCTGTACCATCCCGCCAAAGCAAAACCGCTGTTAAAAAAAAAATATCATTTCTCCCGTAGTGGGGTACAGTGGGGTAAAGGAACAAATGTTATGATAATTGAAGCCAGGAATGGGTGGATGGGGGCTGGTTATACTGCTGTTTATTTTGTGTTACACTTGAAATTTTTCATATAAAGTTAAAGGAAAAATGTTTATTTGTTAATTATTCCCCACAATAATTATAAACCTTCCTTTAGAATATTTTTAAAATAATAACTGATTTTAAATTAATTCATCTATCAGTGGATATTTTAATTGGTAGAATAAGAAGTTTAATTCTCTTATTTGAATTTTTGCAGACGTAAAAGTTGAGAAATCTTGCTGACAACAGATGAGTAGATGGAAATCAGAAAGGTTTTGTTATAACAATGTCACTCAATCCTCTGCACATTTATCTCATTACACACAAAGGTCACACAGTAAAATATATCTTCAAAAATTAGACACTTAATGTTCTTATTAACTAACAACTTGATCAGATCCTCTTCCCTTTTGCTGAAACCAAAACACTGGAAACAACCTGGTATATAAGATTTGTTCCCAGGCATTATAGTGATTACAGTAATTCACATCATCAATACCATAACTAGTCTTTCAAAATGTTGTCTTCTGATGGTGCCAAGAAGTTTTTACAACCTGAAGCAGTGCACCACAGTAAAATTTGGGACATGAGAAGTATGCCTTTCTTTTGGAAAATGTGGGGAAAACTGGACTAAAAACAGATTAATTTTAAGAAAAGGCACAAAAGGAAACAGACTTGGAAACTGATAGTTTTAAAATTATCAATGCCCCTTTATATCTTGGAAAAATATTCCCATGCCCAGGGATGTGTTTATTTCAGTGTTAAGTCACTGTACAAGCATTATTAGATATATTATTTTAATCTTAGAAGTAAAGCACTTTATATTATATATAGTAGGAAAATATAAAAAAGATATGTTGGACAAAATACATTTACCAAAACATCTAATCCATTTACCACATGACTTTTAAAAAGCAAGCCATGTGGTTTATGTTTGAAAAGATTAGTAATCAGACCCTGAGGTCAGAAAATTTTTTGATAAATATTCCTATCAAGTTAAAGAATTTATATTTCATTGAGGAAAACTTTTATGAATAAAAATTTAATAAAGAAGTTTTAACACTGGCCATTAAAATTTGATAAAGAGTTTTAACACTGGCTATTAAAAGAACTAATATAAATACATTGGAGTAGTTTTATAACCTGTTTTCGCAATATACTCATGAACTGAATCATGTACTATACATCACAACACAGGTGAAATATCACTAAAAACAGGGACATGTGCCAATAAATTTAATATTACTCATTTAAAGTCAACACATTAATCACAATTTTGTAAATCATGTGATTCATTCATAAAGTATGGAGCTATAGAAGCCAATTGAAAATTAAATCAAAAAGGAAAAAAGACAGAAGAAAAAGGCAAAAAGAGGTAACTAAAAATGATTTTTATAAAACACTTAGCTTAATATAGCCAAAGAAAATGCTTTAAAGCTAAATAATAGGTGGAGGATTAATATAGATTATTACATGTAAAAAATACTGTTCTAAATCTAGTACTTCCATAGATTAAACCTAAAAATAAAGTAACAGAAAAGTGAATTCTACTGACACCAATTACCAGCCATTATTTAAGGAAAAAAGAAACCCCAAGCACATCTATTGATATAAGCATGAAGTAAATATAAGCCAATTACAATCCTTTATTATTAATGTTACCAAGTTCAAGGCATCATCCATTGCACCCTAGAGTCACAAACTGCCTCCTGTGTAACAAGTGATAGTCAACATGACCAAACTGAACATTTGATACATACTAATTAAATTTGCCTTGATTTTTTATGGAGTATGATTAATTTTTTTTTGAAAGACAGGTGAAAACCTCCAAAATTTTAAACTCAAAAATACTTTGGACTTAAAAAAAAAAAGAAATCAAGTTATTCAAATGACAAAAACTAGAAACTACCAATAGACCTGAGGTACAAACACATGACAATGCAATTTACTCTTTACCTTTAAAATAAAAAAGCAGAAGTGTGATAATTTTAATAAGTTGCCCTAATTTTCCCACCCAGCCTTCAAATTATCATAAGATCTTAACTTTTAAACTGAAAACTGAGATTAAAAAATAATGTAAGGATACTGCTGTTTCATCCAGAACTGTGCTTTCAAATTTATTGTTACTGTTTCCTTTAACTCAAACAACCACATTATCATCATCATCAAATGTAACAAACTGTATCAAAAAGTATTCCTTTAAGTTTAGCAGCTACCACAGAGAGAAAGAGGTTAGCACCTTCATGGTTTTTTAAATTATGTGCATTTTAAGTACAAAAATGACATTTTCTTTTATGAAGGTATTTACCTATATAGCTTTGTTTAAAATTTTAAATATTGCAGTTTTCCTACAAGTTTAGTAGTTAAGAATTTATGCAACAGGTTCCTTCTGTCCAAATCCTCCTTTTTTCCACAATCTGCTAATCCTTTTGAACATCTGCTCTGCCTCTTCCCCCATTTCCTGAGGATCACCACCAATCCTACAAGGAAAAAATATCAATACTACAAAATTATGAAATAAAGAGTCTTACTAAAGACTCTACTAATTTATGTGTTTGGGGGGAGGGGGATAACATGAAGAAAATATTTTAATAGCACCATAATAAAGTCTTGAATTTCGAAAGAAAAAAATAACCTTAAGGTCATCAGTTAAAAAACAGAATTCACATCGAGTAGCCACGGTATAAGAGCTACATTTCAGGTACTCAAAGCGTAAGATCCTTGATAAGAGGCCTAGTTCCTTGTAGATAACAAGCATTGACTAATGTCCAAAGAATGACCATATACACTCACTCAAAGTGAGACTGACTTCTAATTCAATAAACTGGTATCTTCTGTATAAGTGAAATAAGGAAAATAACATTTCTCAACTTTTTAGACAATCTAACTATGCTAGGTAAAGATGAAGATGTCAACAAGAAAACAGCAAACATTTACATTAAAAATGGCAGAGTGAATTTGAATGAACAGAAAACAGAAAATCAGATTTAGCTCAAGCCAAGACCACTACTGTTAGAACCTATCCAGTCTGTTTCCTCATTTTACCTATTTATAGAGTAAGAGGGCTGAGCTTGAAAACCCCTTCAACTATGGTTTTATTACTTCAGCTTCAACTACCAATTCATATTATGTGATCATATAATCTGCAGAGATCATCGGTAGGTATTTATAAAAGTTTTGAATTGTTTTAAAAAAAGAGTCCAAGAAAAGTATTAAATTCTGGGACAATTTTACACAGAGGTATGTCAAGCTTACCCCTCCAAGATTTAGATGAACTTCATTAAAAAAAAAAAAAAAAACCACACATAAAACTTGTGAAACACCATCTAAAAATAAAACAAAAAAAATCAAAGAAAGTGACCTTAAATATGAACCATACCCCAAAGCTTCATTTCCAACTTTGTCAGTAAATTTTTCTAAATGTAAAATTTCTGATCAAATTTGTAAAGACAAGATGACCCAGTTAAATGAACAGTTAGATACAACCACACTTATGCTGTGTATGTGTGTTTTTTAAACTGTTTTTCAGTACTTATATTAATGTGGCTCAATATATAATTTATGGTGTGTGACTGAACATGGTAAGTGGAACTTATAAAGTAATGATGTGGTATGACCAGACATGCATTTCTCACATGCAGCATTTCAATGTAGTATATTAAGCCCATGAATCATTAAACAAAAGATGTTTAACTGCATACAGTTAAGCAAGACTGCTATTAATCATTTACATATGCCCTTTCTTGAAAATACTATTGGTGTGGTATGTTACTCTCTCTCCAGTGTAAAAGTTCTTAAACTGAGATCCATGGGACAGCTTCAATGGGTCTGTGAACTCCCTACAGTTCATATAAAATCATGGTATGTGAACATTTTTTCGGGAAGACCCAAAAAAGGGTTAGAACCATTCTAGTGGTTTTCTTTTTTTTTCTAGTGGTTTTCTCATCAAGCACTAATGCATACCTTTTATTATCATAACTTTCCTTACTTCTAATTTAAGATACATGTTCAAATCTGAACAATTATTAATGAAACTTTTCTCTCACTGTAGTATTTCATTGTAAGGGTCCATTTACTGATGTATACCTCACATTGTACTGTAAGCTACCTGAAGGCGTGACTATGCCTATCATATACTCAACTTTTTATAATAAACAAGTAGTTTCTTTGATATCAAACTGACAACTCTTCTATTAAACAACGACAAATAACTAGAGGTTATAATGGGAAAACTGAAAATTTTCATAGCCTAAAATTACTTACATTAAAAAATAATACTTGGCTATAATATCTACATCACTAGAGTTACAAGGATTAAGTGACCAGTACTTACGAAGCATTTGCTCCAAAATAACAACCTATACATTCTTAAAATACTACTCTTCTATTTTTACAGCTTTTCCTCATGACCAACAATAAATTCATGAGAGTTAAAAGAATTTATAGCATACAAACTAGATAAGATTTTATTAATTGGGCCAAGGGTATAATTTATATTCAAACATTCCTTGAGTAACCAAGGTATCTCATCTGCAGAAATGCATCTACAAAGCCATACAGCTATGTTAACTTCAATCATGGGATATGCACAGATTTACTGAAGAAAGTATATAAATGTTGCAAACACAAATGAAACATAATTGAATATAAGTGAAACTTATAAATTAAAAACCTAAGCAGTATCACAGAATAGAACCATTTTCAAATACTTATTTCAATACAACACTAGTATTTCCAATTATTAAGGCAAACTAGACACTTAACAAGAAAACATACAGTGTAAATAAACCAAAGAGTAGGAAAAATAAAATAACTTAATAATTGGAATAAGTCTTGTTTATGATTCAAGTAAAACAAATGAAACAAGTTCAAATGAAAATTGTGATTACAGTTCATGAAAGTCAAGGACTTAAGAATATTCAAGGGTAAATGTACTTTGTCTTTAATACAAAGTACCAGAACATTTGTCCCTACATATGCTGATGACAAACATCAGACAGTAACATGCTGGTAATTCTGTTTACATCTGTTCATTCTAGAAGAGCCAGAAAGAAAGAAAAAAAATTAAAACTTTAAGAAGAAAAACTGTGACTACTGTTCAACAGAAACTTCTTTTTGAATTTCTGCCAGATCTTCAGGTCAAGAGTAGGTGTTAGAATTTATGAGTCATCTGTTTTTAATTTTGCCCTTGAAATTACATCATTTATTTTGAAATAAATAAAAATTCTAACCTTATACCATAAGAATCACATAACACCAGAAGAAAACTTTTCAGTCTACATAAGGTTCATATTTATGCCTTAGTATTTAAAAATATTACTAGATTAAAACATCAACAGTTTACCTTTATTAATGAAGTCACAACAATTGCTCCAGCATTTACCATAGGATTGTGTGGTTTATCTGAAAAATATAAAAGTAACAGAATTATGTTAAGTACCTGATACCACTTTCTGTGATGCACAGTTACTTCCCATGAACATACATCTATTTTCTTTATATAAGCCACTGTTATAATTCTTTTTGGAGGTGGGAGGTAGAAAGTAGAGGAATGCAATTAAGTCTTTACCCATCAAACCAATAATACACTTCTCAGAAGCTACTGTAATTATACAGGCAAACAAAGATTCAGATACAGAAAGACAGTGATTAGTGGTATAAGAGCACATTCAAATTTCCTAACTATGCCATTTACTAGCTATTTGATCCTGGGCAAGTAACTGAATTTCACTGTGCCTCAATTCTCCCATAGACAGCACCAATACTTCAGCAATTCAAAGTACTTGAATGAATTAAAATACATGAAATGTTTTGGCACATCACTAAGCAATCAAATAGTATTACTATTAAAAATTACCTTGGAAAAAGCATATCTAGTGTGGACCCAATTTTCCTTTTAGAAAGTATTTTACTTTCTTGTTTATGTATATACATATATGTACATTCTCAGTCACTCAGTCATGAACCAACTCTTTGCGACCCCATGAACTGCAGCCCACTAGGCTCCTCTGTCCATGGGGATCCTCCAGGTAAGAATACTGGAGTGGGCTACCATTTTCTTCTCCACATGTATATGCAGAAAAAGAAAACACAAACAAGTAATACATATAGGATAAAAAGATTACAGGGTATTTAAGTTGTGTTGTCCATGCTTTCTATATTTCCTGACAATAAGGATGTATTTTGTATAATTAAAAAAATTACTTAAAATTTAAGTCCATCCAAAACCCTACCTCTTCTAATTCTTCCAACAAAGAGAATTTCAAAGTTTCAGCTGATTATATTGTCATTTACAGTACAACACAAATGCCAAACAGGAGCACTGGAAACATTTATTTGAAAACATAATTCCTAATCTATCTATTTATGGTAGTAACTTACATCTTTGGAAACAAGTTCCTATCTAACTTAACAAATCTACCAGAGTTCGCAAGTTATTTCTACATTATTTGTCTCCTTGAATTTTAAGCAAGTTATCTTCTGTGAGATGAGTCTAGAGCTAAACAAGGAAATTCTTCAACTGTTGAAGAGTTCTGTATGACCCAGGAATTCCAGTCTCAGTATATAACCCAGAAAAATAAAAACTCATGTGTACACAAATGTTCTCAGCAGTATTACTGGTAATAATTAAAAAAACTGAAAAATAACCCACAACTCAAACTTCCTGCCAAATGATGAATGGGTAAACAAAATATGTTATTATTATTCATACAATGGAATTTTTTTAGCAATTTAAAATGAAGTACTGACATATGCCCAACATGAAAGCACCTTAAAAACATATGCTAAAAAAAGTAAAATATGCGAGTCATAAAACACCAAATATAATGATTCCATGTAAGTACAACGTACAGAATAGGCAAACCCATAGAGACAGCAAGTAGATTACTAGTTTCCAGGCACAGAAGAGAAATAGAGATTGACTACTAATGGGTACAGGGTATCAGTTGGGGTGACAAGCATCCCACAATTGGTTGTGGTCATGGTTGTACAACTCTATGAATATACTAAAAGTCATTAAATAGTACATTTTGAATGAGCAAATTATGTGGTAGGTGAATTATGTTTCAATAAAACTGTTAAAAATGTATAATTAAAAAACAATAATGACAAATAATTGGGTAACTTAATAGTACATCATTCTCTTCAATATAAGATCAACAATATGATTTAGTAGCTAGCTCTGCTCTAACATTTCGGGTTATGATAATGACAAGTTTTCTAGTAGTCATGTATGGATGTGAGAGCTGGATTATAAAGAAAGCTGAGCACCGAAGAATTGATGCTTTTGAACTGTGGTGTTGGAGAAGACTTCTGAGAGTCCCTTGGACCGAAGGAGATCCAACCAGTCCATCCTAACAGAGATCAGTCCTTGGTGTTCACTGGAAGGACTGAAGCTGAAACTCCAATACTTTGGCCACCTGATGCGAAGGGCTGACTCATTTGAAAAGACCCTGATGCTGGGAAAGATTGGGGGCAGGAGGAGAAGGGGACGACAGATGATGAGATGGTTGGATGGCATCACTAACTCAATGGATATGAGTTTGGATAAACTCTGGGAGTTGGTGATGGACAGGGAGGCCTGGGGTGCTGCAATTCATGGGGTCTCAAAGAGTTGGACATGACTGAGTGACTGAACTGAACTGAATGACAAGTTACAGAAGTTAAAATAAAACTGAGTACAGGGATACTGTCTAAGTAGTACAATCAGGATTTCACCTATTTCAAATTACGCTAAGAGAAGTCTGCTTTCTTTGAGATCACACCAAATGAGAATGATTATTGTCACAGAAAAAGTACAGAGCCAAAGGGAAGTCAAAAAACAAAAATTTCCGGTATTATATCCATCTGAATATATGGACCACATGCAGACAGAAATATAAATATAAAACCACATGCAGACAGAAAGCAAAACACAGAAATCAGGCTGTGCTAAATTAGTTTATACTTGTAGTTTTATATATTCAAGTATCTGTCCTTTCACTTTTGATATTATCAGGTTCAATCTCGAGGGCTCTAGGAGGTTGAAAGTAAAAATTGCTCAGTTGTGTCCAATTCTTTGCAACCCCATGGACTATACAGTCCATGGAATTCTCTAGGCCAGAATATTGGAGTGGGTAAACTTTCTGAAACTTCTCCGGGGGATCTTCCCAACCTAGGGATCAAAACCCAGGTCTCTCACACTGCAGGTGGATTCTTTACCAGCTGAGCCACAAGAGAAGCCACAGAATGAAAAGATTATGGTAAAATAAGAAAGAAAATGCAACTACCCTCAAAACAAATAGAAAAAGAAGCATAAGAAAATACCAGTTGTAACTTCACTTAAAAAATGAATAAAACAATGAGTATATGGCATATACTCATTTTTCATCCAGCATAAAGAAAAAATACAAGAGTGGTTGCAATCACTGAGTTCCTTTACTTTTGATTTCTTCAATTCTATTTTAACTCAGCACATGAGGAACCTAGCATATCCCCAAAAGACTAAAAAATAGAAACCAATCTATATGTTGTTTAGATTTAAAATCTCTATCAGATCAAAGTACTATGTACCTTTGTCATCATCTTTTCTTTGGATTCCTGTAAAGTATTAAGACTTGTTAGTTATACAACTATTTAAAACAAGAAATTTCTTTCATATACTAAATGTTATGGAAGAGAAAAAGCAAAAACATCTCAACAAGGGCCACCATAAAAGCTTTTTATTATGGAAGTTTTCAAACATATACAATATACAAAAGTAGAAAGAAAAGAATACAAGTGTGCATGTAGCCATCATTTAGCTTCAATGATAACTAATACTGTTAACATTGATATTGATAACCAAAAATGATATTTTTGATAACCAGTATCATTTAGTTTCAATGCTAACCAACAAATTCCAAACACTGTGAGACTTTGTAAGATATTCCCCTATGATATACAGGGGATATACAGTGAAAGATATATGGTGAAATATACAGTGAAAGTCTTACTTTCTGCCCTTATGTTCTCTTTACCTCACCTTCCAATGGTATAAAAATGCCTAAAAAAACTATTTTTTAAAGTAAGTGATTAAACTATCTCTATGGGTTTCAAAGGATTTTCATGACAAATGAAAAAGTATGAATGTTTCAAATTTTTTTCTTCAAAAAAAAAAAAAAACAAAAAAACAACTGCTTAGATTTACACAGGAAAATGAGATATTTCTTTTTCCAAGTAACTTTTATATAATTCTTACCATCTTCATTTAAAAACAGTTTGTTGAACCTTAATCCACTTGGCTCTTTCCCAACATATCGATGTACATATTCGGTTCCAAGGTCATTAACAGCAATGGCATATTTCAAAGGTTTTACACAGGACTGAAGACAAAATGGAACTTTGGTGTCTCCAACAGAATGCCTATTTAAAAGCAAATTTATAAAATAATTTAGATCAATTGGGAAAGAAATGTAACAATAACTGCAGCTGTTATTTACATGCTAATTCTAATTTACAACAGCTTTCCCATAGTTCAACTACAAGTTTACTTGGACATTAAAGAATAAGTAAGAATAAATATGTTTATTTAAAAAACGCAAAAGTTTACAAGTACTCAGGTAAGAGACTGGCTCAAAATTATTACATAATAAGTAATGTGAAAAACTGCCTCTGAGGACAAGAGGGTATGACCCTCCTTACTTCTACCTGTATTCTAACATATAAAATGAACTAGTGCTTTTAGAAATTACTCATCATTTTTTTTTTTACTCATAGCTTTAATCAAGGCTAAACTGTGGTTTGTTTTTAAATGGGGCTCAGTTTATTCAATATCATTCTCTGAGTCCCTCTCTAAAAATGCCTCTTCTTGTGAACCATATCTATTCATAATTTCCAGCCCCATTAAAACAAACAGCATCCAGTTTTATAAACTTGAGAGGGTTGGCACTAAAGGCAATCATTATCATCATGGAGATAAACAACGGAACAAAAAGAAAGCTTTCTATGTTACCAAACTGCTAGGATGCACATAAAGTAAAGAACAGTTTTGAAAATGAAAAATTTGTGACCTCAAGAGCAGCGACCTCTGTTTAATTTGCTAAAGTATCCCAGGTGCCCCAATCAGTGAGCCAACACAATAAAGGCACACATTCATTCTAGTGCAACGTATTCATAGTGAAACTGGGCACTATAATAACTACCCCTGGATAATCAGAAGTTAATGGAGACATCAGAGGGACACCTCTCTTCTAAGTATATGATGGACTATAAGTAAACATGTATATATATTTAAATATATATATAAGTAAATATAAAGAATATAATATTTTTATAAAAACAATAATTTTTATAATAATATATAATATTTTTCTTATCAAATTTATGAATAACTTGTAATTCAGCCTATAACTTCAACTTGGCAATCATTCTATTACCTGACAAAAGCCTGTCTTACTACCTTTGGATTTAAAAACACCTATGATATAGTCCAAAGTCAAGTTCCAAAATTTCTCTAGATAAGAAGGCTAAGCTAAAAGAATCACCTCTATACACAAAATATGTTTAAGAAGAAAAAAGACATGCATGAGAATTAGCTAATAATAATTTCCTCCAAATATAAAAATTTCTACTACATGATAAAACCATTTCCTTCAAATACAAGAAAATAGGAATACCACTCCCTACTGGAATTTATTTCATAGGCTAAGCCATGTCTTCTCATGAATTTGTGTCTGTTCATGGCACCCAACATTTAATACAACACATGAGTGTTTAATACATTTCACAGGCCCAGATGAGGATAAAAGTCTGTCATAATGGAGAGAATAATGGACTAGAAGTTTAGAGACCTAGGTGCTAGTTTCACCTCTGCCAGTTTTATACAAATTCTAGGCCTCAGACTCCTTGTCGTTAAGTATGAATGAACTAAATCACATTTTTAAAAAAAACTGTAAATACTTGAGAAAGATTAAGTAGTAAAAAAAAATAAAAGTATCACTTAGAATGAAGGCACTTGAGACAGAAAAGCTTTAATTGGGACATCATGATTTGCAATTTTATCTAAATGATTTGTAGTTTTAACAAAATTTAGGATAAAATTATCTAACATAAATTCATCAAGCTGTATACACCAAGGAGTTGTTTATCTCATTTTATGTAAGTTATATTTTAATGTAAAAAGAAATAAATTACCTTAGTAAAAAGCAAACAAAAAAAACAGATTTTATTTCTGAGCTGAAGTCTTCAAATTAGTAAAAAAATACAAGTTTTCTTTTTTTGGCATAATTTTTCTGATAAGACCAAACTGTAACATAAGAAATATTTATGTCTGACTTAACAGCATAATAAAAAGGTCATTTTTTAAAAAATATTTCAGAACTTTGTTCATTTTTCCAAGCGCCTGCCTCTCTTGATCGACTTTTTATCCAATTACTCTCTCTGAGGTGCCCTCATATTTTTATCCTTTTTATAATTCTGCTGGATCCTCAGATGTCAGTGGTTATGCCTGCAGTGTGATTACATTGTGAAAATCAACTTTCATAGGCTTCATGAAATCCTCCATCTTTTGCAAATGACTGACAGGCAGATGGTGATTACAGCCATGAAATTAAAATATGCTTACTCCTTGGAAGGAAAGTTATGACCAACCTAGATAGCATATTAAAAAGCAGAGACATTACTTTGCCAACAAAGGTCAGTCTGGTTAAGGCTGAGGATTTTCCAGTGTCATGTATGGGTGTGAGAGTTGGACTATACAGAAAGCTAAGTGTCGAAGAATTGATACTTTTGAACTGTGGGGTTGGAGAAGACTCTTGAGGGTCCCTTGGACTGCAAGGAGATCCAACCAGTCCATTCTAAAGGAGATCAGTCCTGGGTGTTCATTGGAAGGACTGATGCTGAAGCTGAAACTCCAGTACTTTGGCCACCTCATGCCAAGAGTTGACTCATTGGAAAAGACCCTGATGTTGGGACAGATTGGGGGCAGGAGAAGAAGGGGACGACAGAGGATGAGATGGCTGGATGGCATCACCGACTAGATGGACATGGGTTGGGTAAACTCTGGGAGTTGGTGATGGGACAGGGAGGCCTGGTGTGCTGTGATTCATGGGGTCGCAAAGAGTCGGACACTACTGAGTGACTGAACTGAACTGACAGGCAAGAGACTATATATTACATTATATTAACTACCATGCTAATCATATCAGCAGCAAGAGGAACAAAAATAATGACAGTATGGGTAACCAATGTTAAGCAAAGAAAGGTGAACTAATTCTATTAGTGGTCAGTTCATTAGAGAGTAATTTCATATTTTGCCAAATCTACTTTTCCTAAGCCAATCTGTAACTATAGTTCCTTGAATAATAAGCATTCAAATAACAAGACTATAACTCTGAATAACGTAGCTGAAATGCCTCATAAAATGTAGTAAAAGGTATTATTTCAGTTGAGTTTTTTAAAATTAAACTAAAACTTAAACTTCTCTGCCTTCTTGAATTTATGTCATCTCAAGGGGCTAATTACTATTAGAGAAGACGCTCCTCTCTACCTCACGCTCATTGTTATGTAGTGAGCAAATTTAAGTTTTAGAGCTGGTTTTGATGAATTTGAAATAAACTTACCTCTGTCCATCTACTGTACAAACAGATACACCCCACAAATCGGGGCTGAACTTGGCTAGTTGAGGAATATAATCTGCAACCTATCCAAAACAGTGGAAAGAAATCAACAGATAAAATATAAAATATTCTCTTCCATCAAAAAAATTTATCTCAATTTAGCTTCCACCAATGAACATTTTGTAGTACCCAGTGGCTTTGTAGTCTATCTTTTATAACAATATTCATAAAAACTAAGGGCATAACAGACTTGAGAATTACAAGTGAGATCTAAGTGACCTCTCAAAGTCTCCATCACCATCTGTTTTCTATTGCATTCTCTCTTCCTAAAAAAAACACAGTCTAAGAAGAACTAGGAATTGATTTATTTTTTAAGGGAAAAGAACAAAATTTACTTAATCAGGGTCATGATAATGGGGTTTTATTATCTAAAAACTTTCAATATCGAGAATAAAATAGCCCTTATATTATGTAGAGGATTTTAAAAACTGTAAACATTTTACTTAATATTTGAGGATATCATACCTGCAGAAATTCTCAGGAAGTTATTTTTTAATTAATTAAAAATATAAAGGTCACCTTAATCCTTTGAAAATCAAAAAGATTTCTTTTTAATGAAAGTAACAATTAACCATAATATTTGAAATATTTTAAAAGCATTTTAAACAATGTACAAAAGCACTAAGCTTCCCTGGTGGTTCAGACAGTGAAGAATCTGCCTGCAATGCAGGAGACCTGTTTCAATTCCTGGGTCAGGAAGATCCCCTGGAGAAGGAAATGGCTACCCACTCAAGTATTCTTGCCTGAGAATTCAATGGACAGAGGAGCCTGGCAGGCTATAGTCCATAAGATCGCAAAGAGTCAGACACGACTGAGCGATTTAAACTTGTTTACTTCTGTTACTCTAAAAGAACTTAATCCAGTGACTTCACTTAAATTTCTTACTTAGCCAAACAGAAAACCACATAATTTTAGTCTCTACACCTCAAGTTTAGCTAAATTTATTCAATTATTGGTTTAGGAAAATATTCACATCAAAAACATTACCTTTCCTCCAGACTGTTTTTTAGCACTCTCATATAATTCATCGATATGTGAAGTAAAAGACATAAAGTCAGGAATGACAAACTTTCTTCTAAAGGCTTGTGTCAACAAAACAATGTTGCTTTGAACACATCTGTGGAATATGAAAAAAATTAGTACTTGCTAATAATAACAATATTAGGAGAATACTCAAACAATAAAGAAATTCAACATTTTAAACAAATTCTAGAAATTATACTTTCTAAATTATTTTCTTTCCTCCAAGCACCCTTTCATGTAGCTGCTTGTAAGCTGTTGAACAAGTTAAAAAAATAAATTAGACAGCCTAAAAATTGCATCAAAGATGAAAACAACAGAGCATTCCAGCGGGTTAAGTACCAAGACCATCTAAAAACAAGACTTTTTCACCTACCAGATATGATAAGCATTCAGCATGACATCTGGTTAACAAAAATCAGACTTTAATATATAGCTGAGATCCTGTTTATTTTTCCATGAAATAACCTCAGACATATGTCCCTTAAGAAAAAACTTCACAAAAAACTAAACATTCCATATTTTAACATATTTTCTATAAATTACATTTTGAAAATTTTGCATCTCTAAGCTAAAAACTTTGTTTAGTCAGATTTGTCCCTAACATAAAATACTTATTTAAATGCTTGCAAAAATGTTTAACTTTAAAAAATATATATAATACTATAATAATTTTATATTACTTGAATCACCAAAAATGTTTACATCATTCTATGCACTGTTAAGATGTGTAACACACTGTAGAATAAAAACGTTTCACTGTTAACAACTATTTAAATGATATGGTAAACCATGTGGATGGGAAAGCATTGAAATCTAATAATTTGAATCAATATTCTGCTTTGTTTTAAAAGGGTTTAAGCTAGAAAATCAATTTATTAATGTAACCCTAAAAAGGAATTTTATAAATAGGTTAATAGCCAACCATATATTCTAAGCTCACCTTAAGTGAGTCTCAGAAACTCAATAATAGAACACTTAATTGATAAAGGAAGACACTACAGACTTGAGCATCAAGCCATTATACCAAGACTAAGCCCGTAACAGACTAAAAAGTACTAAGCTTCAAGTACTATTTATCCTGTTTAACTCTCAAAAGATGAACACTTTTAGAAGGTAATTCCCCATTTTACAAATAAGAAAACTCCGTGTAACTTGCAAATAAATAACATGCACTAATTATAAAAGGAGAGTTGGAGAATAGGCACTCTCAATTTTTCAGTCCATGGTAAATGATAAATTTTTATCTCAGTATCTTAACTCAATGTTCTAAATGAAATTGCAAATTAGAATTAAAAGCCAGATTCACATTTTAACTATTGATAAAAATCCAGAATATATACTCACTTGGTCAACATAAAATTAAACACTGATTTAAAATAAAATAGGTTATTTTCAGTGATAAAGATGTGTTTCAATTACAACATGAAAAAGTTATAATCCTAATTTCCATTAAGCTATAGATGTAGAAATAACTGACATCCAAGAGATAATATTTACTTCAATAAACCAATAAATTTTATGATAGTTTCAATGTTACTTGATATTGTTTTGTCATTGACTTAATATTTAATATGCATCAAACAGTAATTCAACTTGTACATGAGAGTTAAAAGTAATATACAAGGAAACACATTTCTTAGCAGAAAAAGGTTTATAATTCCTGATCTTAAATTGCTGCTGCTGCTGCTGGCAAGTCACTTCAGCTGTGTCTGACTCTGTGAGACCCCACAGACGGCAGCCCACCATGCTCCCCCTCCCTGGGATTCTCCAGGCAAGAACACTGGAGTGGGTTGCCATTTCCTTCTCCACTTAAATCGCCATACTGTATCAAATCAAATCTACATCCTCCTTTTTTCAAGAACTGTGGCATGAGAAAATAAAAGGACTGCCAAACAAATAAAAATTATTAACCTTACTACTATTTACCTACTCAAAATTAATCAGCACTTTCAAAAGGAGGTTTTATACAAAAACTGTATAGTCAGTGAAACTGGGATTTTTTTTTTTTTTTTACTCTATTAGAAGGTGCTGGTAAAGCCGTGCTAACAGCCTTCACTGGTGAATTACTGTAGCCAGTCAAGGCAATATCAGAACAGTGTCTAGCTGCATAATGAAGAGCATTCCAATCTGTAATGCTTTCTTGGGAATTATTTTAATATGGATGTCATGAATCTAACTAGAAAATCGGAAGTCATACAAAGTAGAATGAAGAGGAAGTGTTTTATGATTTTCAACAAGTTACATCTTTCTCATGCTTTCTTTGTTCAGTTTTCTAATCCATAAACTGGTAAAAATAATTTTCCTTTCCCTCTTAACTTAATGTTTATGATTAACAACTGTTACGCACATCAGTGTTTTATAGAATATTTCAAATATAATTTTTCATTAGTAAAATAAAAAAGTGGATAAGAATTTTCAAAGAAAAATCAAATAAATACAAAGACTAGCTCTCATTTCCTCCAAAACAAGATGATAAAAAAAACTATGATCACACATGATAATACTTCTAATATTTCCATGGCTAAAAATACATGAATAAATAAGGTATTCCTTTTCAACACAAATTTTCTACTTCTACTAAGACTATTAGCATTAAAAACAATTGAGTATCTAGACAGGTACAGGCAGTCTCCAACTTTCAAACAGACTATGCCCCCAAAAGTATGCTTAGAACTCATTTTCCCATTTAAAGAAAAGTTTTACATGCTTCTCAGATTACTCTCAAAGGCTGAATATATATATTAACCAACAATGTATTTTAGGTAAAATGTCAACACATTTACTTCAACCAAACCTTACCACCTTTCTTTATAAATTACTTCTCTCGGAAAATAAATTCCATTGTAACATCTGCTTCCCATTTGCATGAAAAGTCAGAAGTTTATTTCTGGCAACAGTAACTAGAAAACATTTTGAAAACAGAGAAAACACTTCTCTGAAGCAATCACCTTTCCAGGTGATCTGAAAAGGTTGGCGGTCAGAGGTTCTGAATCTCATTCTAGGAATGAAAAGAGAAATCATATGCCTATAGACATAAACTTTTCCACTGCCCGCTCACATAGACCACTAGGCATCCGTCAAGTTGGGAACTGCCTATATTACAATTGTCAGGTTTTTTTTTTTAATTGGTTTAGTGTTTAAAATAACACTGTTATTTTTAATATACTTATAGTAGAAAATTTTATGCTTTTCTGTTTACTCAGTGTATTTAAATTACTTTTAAAAATTTCATATTTAAACAGTATGTTTATGAAGCACAAAAAAACCTTAACCAGTACTGAAAAGATATAAAATACTGTTTTCATGTGGGAATTCAAAGCAATTCCTCATACCCACAATCAACATACCTATCTGCCATGTCTTTGAATCAAATCTGACAATTTCATTCTCAGATATACCAAAATAACTCCCCAGAAGGCACTTTGCACAGAGTTCATGAACACTAAAAATAAAATAATCTTACTGCAAAAATACAGCTAACTAGAAATTATTTCCTTCCCTTCACAAAGAACAGGTTCGAAGACTCAAATTTCCTAACATCAATTCCAACATGAACCTAAAATCTACACTTTATAAAGTCAGCAGAGTTAACAGCATCAAGAACCATGTGGTGAAAAGACAGAGATCTAAAATAGGCAGCACTCACTGCTTCATGGTATGCCAAGACACTTGGGAGGATCTCAGTTAAATACTTATACCTTCAGATGACTTAATATTCCAGGATACTTCAGCAGATATCTAGAACAAATCATCTAGCTCCCAAAAGACAATAAAATAAAAACATATATAAAAATACATACATACAATAAACTTTCAAGGTAGATGCTGGAATTCTTTAGATCTATTTCAACCTAAGCCAATGGTCAGGAAAAAGCCAAGGTTTAACAGTAGTGTTTATAGTTTTATTTTAGTTCTTACTCAATTTTAGTTGTAAAATATCATATACTTCCTTGGGTTCCATGACAAACTTATTGTCTATCAAATTATTAAGCAATCAGACTAGTAGGAACACATTAAAGAAAATAAATAAAGATTGGCAAATATAGGTTGAATTCAACAAATATTTGGTTGAATTCAACCAAATCAAGGCATTAATGTCCAAAGCTGGCATTAAGTTTTTAGATATTCTGAAAAAAAAAAACAAAAAAAATACAAAAGCCTATGCAGTAAGCCTATGTCTGATGTGAGGAGAGAAGCAGACAATGGAGACACGTAACCCTAATGAATACAGGCTGCCTGAAGCCTTCCCATTTTATGATGTCATCTAAATCAACTTGTAGAAAGAAACAGAAACCATGCTGAGAAAGGCTGCAAGATATGCAAATAACTTAGAGATCAATTTAAACAGGACAGAGTGTGTTCATTCAAACTGAATGCAACCTCCAGGTATTATAAGTTGGAAACATCCATGGCTACATTTCCTCAGAACAGTTTCAAGGTATACTCTTAGCCCCAGTATATTATAGAACTTTAATGTGCATCAAGTTGTTCAAAGCAATTGATGTTTATAAATCCCTTCCCCTCTTTTTTTCAGTTACACAGGAAGCACTGGCTTTCAAAGATGCAATTTTGTTTTAAAAGAAAAAAATACCACATAGGACAGCAAATGACCATTAACGGTTTGGCAGAAATTTTTACTTTTTAAAAAGATCTTTGTCTAGCATGACACCATCTGATGTTGTTTGAAGAGTTAATCTTAACATATCCATACACTCTTTCAACCTGGGATCAGACGTTCGCAATCCTGTAGATTTGAGTGCCTGTTTTTAAAAAAATAAGAGTCTGTAAATACATAGTGCAAATAATGTATATGCTTATTCCAACTACAAGTTTTTAATTCCTGTATTTAAAGACTTCTACCCAAGACCTGAATACATGGCATTTTAGTGTCACTATTACCCTCTTTCTGGACAAGTTTCTCATTGTTTCTTTCATTTCCTTTCACTGATTACCTTGAAATAACATGATGAAAATTTGAAAATAAGAGAAATAGTGTCAGTCAAAATCTACATGTCAGATGACTTTAAGACTACATTGTGATATCACTGTATATTGATTTGTATTTGATTTGTATTACTGATTTTCAAAAAGTTAGGATAGAAAAATATAAAAACTTACTGTAATAAATTTATGAACAGGTATTTTCTCTTGTCCTTCTGCAATTGTATAGAACAGCAAATCTTCCAAACTAGGCAACAGACCCTGTTTTATTTTACTAAAGAGGAAAAAAAGAACACAAAATTAACTCTTATGCGAACTTTCAAGCAGATTTTAGCTACATCCATTTTAAAATAATGAAGCAGACTACAGTTGATCGATTCAAGACCTACTATCATATTAATAAATGCTGATTTACCAAAATCAAACAGTATTACTGAAACTACACTGAGAAGCAAGTTTAAAACATGTTCATTAATTTACACAGGTATCTCGTAATCCTAAATCATCTGTTATGGTGATTTCTTCCAGTACAGCCTAATACAATCACCCAATACTAACTATGAGCCTAGAAAATGTTCAGGTAAGAGTCAATATTTCATTCTATTGCTATTGCTTTTTTATAGGATGATTATACCTATGTAAAACATGGTTGTGGTTTAGTTGCTAAGTTGTGTCCAGCTCTTTGCGACTCTATGTACTATAGCCTTCCAGGCTCCTCTGTCCATAGGATTTCCCAGGCAAGAACACTGGAGTGGTTTGTCATTTCCTTTTCCAGGGATCTTCCCGACCCAGGAAGTGAACCCAGGTCTCCTGCATTGCAGGCAGATTTGTTATCAACTGAGCTATGAGGGAGTCCTTGAATATAACACATATATTATAGTCAGATATTTGTTACAAACAGTTATATATATAGTTCGAATAATTAACCTGATTGTAAAATCTGAGGGAGAGAGTAATTAAGAAAAGATTAGTGTACAAGTTCTCAAGTCCTGACTATAATATTTACTAGTTGAGTCACCTTTTTTGTGATTCAGTTTCCTCATTTGAGAAAGTGTGATAACAAGGCCTACCTCACAGGGTTCTTGTGAGAATCAGTTGACTTACACATTTAATACCCTCAGTGCCCTGCCTGGTAGAAAGTACTCAATCGTCAGTAGTTGTAGTGACTATTTCTAAAGTGACCTAGGCTTACATATTCACATCAAATGCCACATATCACAAAGACTGTTAGAATAAAAATGTTACCATAAAAAAAATTAAAATCTTAGTTAACTAATAAGTTGGTATAAGAAAAATTTTTTCTCGATTAACCAAATTTTTAATCGAGAAAAAATTTCTTCCTACTCATTGCAAAGTTTTCAAATAAACTATAATGAACCTATAAATACTTTCTTTTGCAGGGATCTGAAACTGAAATGAACACAGTTCAATATTCTGAACATTCATGACTGTCATATGTATTATAGTGATGTTTAAGAATTATAGATCGAGGGTAAACCAATCCCTTCCCCACCCATCACTATTTATTAAAATCAAAGGTACAAATACATGTATGTATTTGTATGTATGTGTATACAAAATGTCTGGAAAGGGCTTTACCTTTATTTCAAGAAAGAGAAAATTAAAAGAGTGGTCCATATATTTCTATTTTAAAAGACAAGAGAATACAGTGTCAGCTCACAGAGCATGTACATTTACACATGCACATGTAAAATTTCTCAAAGAAACACTAATGTTGGCATTAACGCCACTTACACTTGTTTTCAAAGCTATCATACCAGCTTCTTGTTTTTAAAGTCAACCCTAAAGTACAAGAATTTCATGCCAATGTTTAAAAAAAAAGTAACACATAGGATTATTTTAATTTAAAGATACATCCAGGATATATAATTACTCCTTAAAACAATTTTGGCTCTTAGAGAAATTTTAAAAATATATTTGGGATATTTTAATTATAAGAGTTAAAAATTATGGATCACTTCTGTTAAGTATTCTTATTAGTTGTTTTACATACATTCTAATTTAATCCCTACTATTATATGACAAAAAGTACTATTATCCAAAATAAAGTATGATTCCTGGTACACAGTGGATGCTCAATATATTTACTGTTTGACAAAAAAAAAAAGACTGACTCTATCCCCATTTCTCAGAGGCTCAGAAAGTTCAACAAACTTTCCAAGACTGCACAGTGGTAGAGATATATTTAGAAACCTTGTTCCTCTCAATTCAGAGTCCAAAATATATGCCTCTACAGTTTTGCTGGCTCTCAAATTTACTAGCTAGTAATTACTTTTATGAGGTATGATTTTTCTAGATCATACCCTGATCTAAAACCATTAAGCAGCATTCAATAGTACTGATGACTTAATATTTAAAGAAAAATTGAGCCAGCTGTCAAAAACAATCGGTGGAAAATAGCATACTAATTATTTACAGAAAATGGCTTGCTAAATAAACTTCAGATAGTGGTAGTTAATCACTTTAAAAAACTGCAGAATAAGCTTTCCACATATTTATCACACCAGTAAATGGTATTTGCTTTGCCTAAAAGCTATGTAAGTAACATAAAATATACAGTTCTTCAGCTTATGGTAGATAGGGCAAAGAATTTAAAATGACCATGTTTATTGCCACAGCTAACATAAAAGGCTAAATATTTACTTACTTTTGGACAAGAGACTAATTTCTATCCATTGGAGAGATATTTAAGTCATCCCTAAAATACCATGCTCACAAAATAAATAAATAAATAATAAATGTATTAAAAAAAGGTTCAAAATTGATTTTAAAAAAAAGTACTACCAATATGAGCATTTAAAAGCTCAGACTCTGATCTGAAAATGCATTTACTTCAATAGTCTAGGGAACAAAGGCAAAGGTTCTCCCCAAACTTTCAACCACACAGAAATTACCCCAAAGACCTTTCCTGATATTATTACCTCCCTCCCCCACTTCTTTCCCCAGCTTCCCTGGTGGCTCAGATGGTAAAGAACCTGCCTGCAATGCAGGAGAGCCAGGTTCGATCCCTGGGTCGAGAAGATCCCTTGGAGAAGGGAATGGCTATCCACTCCAGTATTCCTGTGTGAAGAATTCCATGGACAGAGAAGCCTAGTGAGCTACAGTCCATGGGGTCGCAGTGTCAGACACAACTGAGCAACTAACACTTTCTTTACCCAAATTTAATACCACTTTGTGGCATTGCTTAATGATATTATATTTTACCATTAAAACTCAAAAGCTAAAAACCGTAGTTTTTGGAAATATAGTAACTAGGATATTTTTAAAAAGTGTTTAAGTTTTAATGACAAAAAAATAGGTTATAACAGGTTTTCAAATTGTAGTACCAACAATTGGTGATAAGCCCTCAGATTCTGTAGGGGGGAAAAACATGAAATAGTTACAACACTCAGCAACTAAAATGGGTATACATAGAAGATGTGCAAATTCAAAGAAAAGTCCTTGTTTTATACTTTTTAAATTCTTCCCTTTTATTCTCCCTCATTTCCTTTTTAATTTTTGCCTTTAAGATCTTTTCACCATCATTTTGTTCCTTCTTTTACCCCTTCCTTCTCCTACTTTACCCTCTCAAAATATCTGCCTAAAACACAGAAATGACCTCTTTAAAAAAAAAAAAGAAAAACCCCATGTATTTAACTGGCATCTATAACATGTACAGCATTATACTAGTTCCTGCTTACAATCTAAAAAGGAACGAGAAGACATACATAATAAGGAATTACAAGAAACAAACAATGAGATCCAGTCATTGGAAAATTACTCACTCTGAACTAACAAGGCAAAGTTTCAGGGGAGGATGGAATTTGAGCTAGACTTGAAAGATGGATAGGAGCTGGAAATATGGCAACAGAAGAGGACTTTCAGCAAAGGAAACAGAATGACCACATCAATCAAGGTAAACATTCACTGGGTATTTACAAAGAACAGCAAATAGCCAGAGCACAGGATATATGAATTAGGGTGCCTGTTTCTACCCATGAGCTGTTAAAATACCCAATTTCCAGTGTTGAGAGAGTTCTACATAAATCAACCAATAAATAAGGAGACTACCAAAAAATTTACAAATTTACCAATTCTACAAACATGAAAAGACACTGTCTCTGACTACTGATCAACCAGTTTCCCAATACAAAAGGACAATTAAAACTCCTTAGTCTGATATTTGGTTTATAAACTGGCTATGTACTATCTATGCTATCAAAAGTTTCTAAGTAAAAAACTCCATTATCAAATGAAGGAAGGAAAATGAACTGCAAAATGAGGAGAGGGGGAAAAAATGGAAAACAACTTACTTTGTCTTATTTTGTTAAATAATGTTTCATATTACTTGACCTTTCCAAACTATAAAGGCTGGGGTACTATCTTTTTTGTCAACTCCATATAACTCAAATGTATAATATAGTATAGTAAACCTATTAGAAAAGCAAAAGCTTCTTCAACTAAGTAAAAAAAAAAAAAAAAAAAAAGATGCCCACTAATAGAATACAAAAGAATGCTTTGGTGTTTTGACTTGTACCTTCATTTTAAAACAATGGTCTGAAAAAAATACTTGGAGCTGTTTTTAAATCAGTTTATCATTTTGATTTTAGAGTGATCTGATTGATAGAAAGTGTCCATAACACCAGTAAATTGGCAGACTGAAACTGTGAGGTTGAAAGCTGCATAGTGGCTGATCATATACCACTATAAGTCTGACAAAATGATACCTCTAAATCATTTTCCCCCAAGGATAAGTATTAGAGAATTCAAAAACAAAATTTTACATTTTTTAAAGCTTTACTTTAAAAGGACTTTCTATTGTTTCATCTTAAAACTCTAAGAGATAAAGCAAAGTGGGTAAACTGTCCTCAAATTACAGATAAAAGTCAAGTAATATGGCCAATGTCACACAACTCAAGTGGCTGGACCAGATTTAGTCCTAGAAAGTCAGTACTTGGTTCCTAACCCCAGATTCTTTCTGCTATGCCACACCAACTGTGCAGAGTTGTTACACTCCATTTTAGGGGGAGTACCTGGAGTTTATTCAAAATAAAGAAAGGTGAGACTCTTTATATATTGAAGAATTTCTAACCAAACTGCTAACAGGGAAACTACTTACGTTAGATGACTAAATTGTTATTCTGCCTTGTTAAAACTGCATCTTGTAAAATACAAAGCAAGGATGAGATAAGGCAGTTGTTTTAGCTGGACTTTATTTAAATTTATTCAAAAGCAAGTCAAAGTAAGAAAAACAAAAGCAACCTTTATGTGAGA